TGATTGGAATTACTTTTAACATAAAAATTCACTTGGCAAAAACTGGAATCTGGATATTGACCTTCCCTACCCATGAATATCATGTATTCTTCAGAAATTTTGGTCATTTTCTATATCTGAAAAGGATATTTGATATNAATCCAAAAATTATTTCCCTGGAGTCCTTGCTATTTAGATGTACACATACAACCAATTTCCACTGAGCAGGTACAACTTCTTGGAAGGTGGAAATAAAGGTCATGAGACCGTATAGTCAGGATCCTACCAAAATGGATGTGGATGCACTTGGTTTTTCTCACAACAGGTAGCAAACCTCCTGGAGGTCTAGCCCCTCTCTTCGGTGCGGTGAGGGTGCCAGTCTAGTAGCAGGCACCAGCAGCTGCTGGGTTTCCACTGGAGCCTCTTGGTACTGTCCTTGCTCCCTTTTCTGACCATCTGCCTATGTGAGAGTCCAGCTTAGTTCCTTTTTCGGAATTCTTTAAGCTACCTAGTGGTTTGTAGCAAATCCATTTCTGCTTAAACATGTTAAAATAGATTCTGGGGAATTCGCTGATGGTCCAGTGGACAGGACTTTGCACTTTCCCTGCTGTGGGCCCAGGTTCAGTTCCTGCTTGGGGAACTGAGATCCTATAAACTGCACAGTGTGACCAAAGAAAAAAAAGATAATGTTGTCTGCAACTACACACAGACACAGAATTAGGAAGTAGAAGTGGGTTGCTGAATGTGACAGAACTGCCTTAGTATATAAGAATGAGAACTGAGTATTGCAAGTTGAAAAGGAGGTAGAAGAGATGAGGTAGGGCCCATCTGTGTCTTCTCACTCTGGCACCAGGGCTGAAGGCACAGCCACTCCCTGGAGCTCAGTTATCCCAGCAGAGAGCAGAATGTATCAGCTGAGGCTGGTGAGGACTGGGCAGGAGGTACTGGGAGGTTTGTGAGAGGAGGTGCAGTGCAGCAGTCAGGAACATGAAGGGAACCCTAGAGATATAGTATCATGAAGAGGTCTAGGACACTATCAAAGGAGTGGTTCAGGTAAAATGAAAGGGTAAGAAGGAAAATGAGAGGTGAGCTGTTGGCAGGCTCGTCAACTGAAAACAGCAAGAATTAAGAGAAGATTAATGCTGAGCAGGTGATGAGCTGACATCTTCAAGGAACAAAAGGCACGGGACCCAGAGGTTCCAGCCTGACGACAGGATTCAAAGGTGGAGGTTTTGGGGGAAAGTCAGAGGTGAAGAATGGCCTGAAACTTTCACAGAGAAAGAACCCAGAATATGTGATGTGAGGGATGGTGCTGGGGAAGCAGCATCCTCAAGAGATGAGGAGGTTTTGGTTACAGGGAGAAGGACTTAACATCTATTGTTGTTCCCCAACACCCAAAATTCCTGCTACACTGCTCCCAAGGAGAGAGGGGTGGGGAAGTGACATGGAATTTCAGTGTTTCTTGAAGACTTTTAGTTTATTTTCCTGTTCTTCACCCCACCAGCATCACCTACACTTCCAGAAAAGAGAAAGTGTTAGTCGCATAGTCATATCCAAACTGTAGCCCTCCAGGCTCCTTTGTCCATGGGATTTTTCACTCAAGAATACTGGAGTGGTTTGCCATTTCCTTGTCCAGGGGACCTTCCTGGCCCAGGAATCGAACCCAGGTCTCCTGCTTTGTAGGCAGATATTTTACTGCTAATCCACCTGGGAAGTTTGAAGTCTTGTAGTTCAGAGTTGGGGATGGTGGTAGTAGTGGGAACCAAAATAATTACCCAAAAACTAAAAACAAATATAGACCCTTTCCCCCAGTAAACTTAGCAGAAATAAGATACAACGGATTCTGTTAAAGATGGCCATTGAACATAGCATTCACACCCTCCTGAAACCCCATTGAGAAAGAGATTAAAAATTGAAAGGCATAAACTCAGAAGGACAGTGAAAATAAGCTAATTATAACAGTTTGGAAAATCGAAATTAGGTGAAGGAGTACTCGACTTTGAGTAGAGCTAAGAAAATCCTAAAGCATGTTGCGGGAAGCTGAACAGCACCTCCATGTGGCAGAAAAGGTTAGGAAAGATTCAGGTAACTTCTGAAGTCTGCTGACAATGCAGGAGACCTGGGTTGGATCCCAGGCTGGGGAAGATCCCCTGGAGAAGGGAATGGCTACCGACTCCAGTGTTCTTGTCTGGACATCCTATGGACTGAGGAGCCTGGCAGACTATACAGTTCATGGGGTCGCAAAGAGTCAGAACCAGACCGAGTGACTTTTCACACAAAGAATGCATCCAAGACTATAAAGCTTATTCCAAGCCCCACCTTCTGTCACATCCCATAGACCCGGCTACATCTCATTCTTACTGTTGTTCAGTTCCATTCATCTGCAGCATCCACTCTGTGCTCTCTTTAACCCAAGTGTATTAACTTTATATAAGCAAAAAAATTTTCTCACTCTTTCAGTCAACATGCAAATAAGCCACAAAAACAGCAAATAGCCACTGTCCACCTCAGGGACTTCCTGGTGGTTGAGAACTCAAGGACTCTCCCTAGGCCACATCAGATCTCTTTCCCCTTCCCTTTTCTTCCCTACGGACCAATTCCACTTCCTTTTCTCTCTCCTTCTAAAGTGACACCACCCAAACTATTTTTAGAGGTCTCTTTCCTGAAGACCACTGAGTTAACAGTGCAAGCCCTTTATCAATGTACACCCCCAGACATCTTCTGCACAAGGCAGTCTCTCAAAGCGTGGTCCACACGCAAGGGCTGGACATCACCATGGATATCCACAATCAGACACCTTGCTTAGAGCAGAAACTAACACAACGTTGTAAATCAACTATACTCTCATAAAACATTGTTTTAAAAATCAAGAATCTCTGAGAGTTAGGCCAGAAAATTACTCTTTCTATACCAGGTTGTTGAGACATATGGTGAAGTTTAAAAAGCACTAATTGCAACGGAGAAACATGTAGATAGAAAAGCAACTTTAAAAAACGTATGCCCCCTTCCATAAACATTTAAGGATTTACTTTAAATTTGTGCTAATACTTTACCAGCTTCCATGGTAGCTCAGCTGAGAAAGAGGTTGCAATGCAATGCAATCGCTTGCAATGCAGGAGACCCCAGTTCAATTCCTGGGTAGGGAAGATCCCCTGCAGAAGGGAAAGGCTATCTACTCCAGTATTCTTGGGCTCCCTGGTTGCTCAGATGGTAAAGAATTCACCTGCAATGCGGGAGACTTAGGTTTGATCGCTGAGTTGGGAAGATCCCCTGGAGGAGGACATGGCAACCCATTCCAGTATTCTTGCTTGGAGAACCCCCATGGACAGAGGAGCCTGGCAGGCTACAGTCCATGAGGTCACAAAGAGTCAGACACAACTGAGGGATGAAGCACAGCGAGTGATGAAGCACAGCACAACCGTGCTAGTAAGGCATGGGTTGGAGATACTGTGGGTTGGTTCCAGAGCACCATGATAAAGCAAATACAGCAAGAAAGCAAGTCACATGAATTTTTTGGTTTCCCAGTGCATATAAAAGTTATTTACACTACAATCTGTGAAGTGTGTAATAGTATTATGTCAAAAAAAAAAGAGAAACAGCTTTAATTAAAAATTACTTTATTGCTAAAATATTAGCCATTTTCCAATAATGCAGTATTGTCACAAACCTTCAATTTGTAAAAAACACAGTATATGCAAAACAGATATAATGAAGCGCAATAAAATAAGGTGTGCCTGTAATGCATAACTCAAGTTCTTTTCCCAGGAATTACTTCACATAGTCCTTTGCATAGTTTTAAAAGACCACATCTAAAGTCAAAAGCAAGAGCAGTCCAAAGTTCTACTTCACTAACCTGTCACAACCTCTTGAGGGTCCCTTGACCTGCAAGGAGATCAAACCAGCCAATCTAAAGGATATTAACCCTGAGTATTCACTGGAGGGACTGATGCTGAAGCTGAAGCTCCAATAATTTAGCTACCTGATATAAAGTTGACTCACTGGAAAAGACCCTGATGCTAGGAAAGACTGAAGGGAAAAGGAGAAGGCAGAGGATTAGATGGTTAAGTAGCTTCACCGATCAACGGATAAGAATTTGAGCTAACTCCAAGAGACAGTGGAGGACAGAGGAGCCTGGTAGACTGCAAGTTTGATCGCAGGTCTGGGAAGACTTCACATAATATGGGGCAACTAAGGCTATGTGCCAAAACTACTGAGCCCACACACCTTAGAGCCCATGCTCCACAACAAGAGAAGCCACTGCAATGCGAAGCCCACACACCACATGTAGAGAAAGCCCATGTGCAGCAATGAAGACCCAGTGCCAACAAAAATTAATAAATAAATAATTATTTTAAAAACATGACACAGGCATATTCAGATTTCCCCCAAATCATCTGCTCCTATTTCTTTAGTAATTTGCCAAACTCATAATTTATGCTATCTGGAGAAAAGGAAATGCAGAAACCAATGCTTGTAAACAGCAAACCAGAACCACCACCAAGAAAAATGTTCACAATGGGTGGAGCAAAGACGAATGCGTTGGTGTATGTGTGCTCAGGAAACCAGAATTAAAAGGAAACAACTACATGTCAAGAGCAAAACTAAAGATTAAAAAAAACCTTGACGACATGATCGCTGTCAGTCGTATAAGTAACCACTCTCACTGTGTACACGCATCGCTCTCACTGTGTACACGCATTGCTCTCACTGTGTACACGCATTGCTCTCACTGTGTACACGCATTGCTGGGCGTGCGGGGCCTCCTCTGCACGCTGGCCTCTGCCGCGGCAGTCGGGGCTGTGCTCCAGCTGCAGCGGCTCCTCCTGCTGCAGGGCACGGGCTCTCGGGCAGGCAGCCCAGCGGCGGAGGCACACGGCTCAGTTTCTCCGGAGCAGGTGGGCTCTCCCGGACCGGGGACTGAACCCATTTCTCTTGCATTGGGGGTGAATTCTTTACCCCAGAGCCACCAGGGGAGCCCAATACATGTTTTTAACTGGTTATTTCACATGATTTTTTTGCAGATGTACGAGATCCTCAATGATCTGTGTCAAAGATAACCCAACTTCAACTGCATGAAAACACCATGAACCTTCAACCACTGAACCACCTGCATTAATTTCTAGAGGCCCTGGTTGGAAACTCAGGCCAATTCTAAACTCTGACAGATCTCACATGCCTCCTGTTTCTCCCAGGCAGCTTCTCTCACATCACAGGGACCTGACATGGGGATATCTTCTCTCAAATGTCCGTAATTCACTGCAGCGTCCTACCAGCACTTCACCCACGAGCAGCCCCATGATGCAGATACGGTCATTACTGTTCAAGTCTGAAAGGGACCAATATGAAAGTCAAGTGTTTCCATTTTCTACCCAGAAGAGAATATATTGTATATAACACAGTCTTTAAATATATCTCGATTACAATGGGGTTTATGCTCAAATAGCTGGAACACATGTACAGTATAATCAAGCTGAAGGTAGGTTAGAGATCTGCTGTAACAGCAAGAGAAGTGCCAAGACAGAGGTCACGGGGGGTGAGGAGCAGGGGTCAGAATAACTGGGGAAGGCTTCACAGCGGGAGGAAGACCCTGGAAGACACGAACTACTTGGACAGGGGACGAAAGAACCCCAGAGGCGGGCAGCAGCATGAACAC